ACTTATTCACATTGGCAGATATTCTATTCACAGGACTGAATAGTAAGTACCAGGTTCGACAGTAAGGAATGTGCAGTAAAGATTTACTTCGTGTCTGATAACTTTGAATGTGTAGATTAAAACATTCAAGACATTCGTGGCTTTTCTTTCATGTAGTAGTTAAGGATTTTAAATAACCGGCACGTTGGTTCTTGATCAAGGATGTGAGAGACGGCCTACTCAAGCCAAGCAACGCGGTGTCGGGTTGGAAATTGGATGGGTGACCGCAGTAGTACGGGACGGTGGGTCGACCGCGCTGCCGCCAATCATCTGATCTCCAAGTATGAATGAGGAGTAGAGCCCATACGAATGATATACAAAAAGCCTGCAGTGTAGAGTATGGGCTCGAAAGGGTGAAACCAAAAATCTAAAAGGATTTTAAATGCAAAACAGACATCAAAATATTCCCTTCTGCGAACAAGAGTGGATAAGTCTAAATAAGTCATAGTCAGGTCATCATTGAGAATGACACCACTCAAAGAAAGTTTGTACCTTGCAAACTTGATAAATTTGTTTTGATCACTCTCGAGCCTATTGATGTGGATCTGATCGAAAGGTGACCAAACTATGCATGAAAATTCAAGAACGGACCTGACCAGTGATGTGTAAAGAATTTTGATAGGGCGTATACTTGTAAAGTCCCTAGTAGCTCTCTTAATAAAACCCAACATTTTATTAGCCCTGCCAATTACCACTTCAAAATGCTCAGTGAATATTAGCCTAGTATCTAGATAGACACCAAGATCTTTAATGATAGAAACTTCAGACAAGCGAACATTGTTCAAGATTGCAAGGGAACACTATGGGTGCGTCTACTGAATTTTATACAACAGCACTTATCGATGTTGAGGGACATGTAATAATTAAGCTGACACCAATCGTGAACGATGTTAAGATCATTTTAAAAAAAAGTATACCTGTACCTCGACCTGTACTGGGTGATTGTCTATATTTTGCACCCACACCTATCTCACCTGTTTGAAGAGATACCCAGAAATGTCAAATGTGAAAGTTGTAGGTAATATCAGAAAGTTTCCAATGAAGTTAGTTACAAGTATACAGGGTGTGTCACAAAAGTAAGGTAAAGCAAAGTTAAACTTTTTTCAATGAAACACCCCATATACCTATGTTTGACCTATTGGATTAGCCTTTCAAACCTGATTCCAAATATACCAGGTTTTTTAGTGGTGGAATAAATTGCATTCTTATTGAAAAAGGTGTAGTATAGAGACCACCAGCAAAATATAAAGGTAATAATTCAAGTACAAAGTCCCAGATTGTCAGGGATAATACCACGAGAGCTTCAAAATTACCAATAATTTTTCCCAATTGCGTGTTTTCTATAATTTCAAGAGTCCGTAGGACGAGTGAAATTTGCAGAGAAAACATGCATGAGTGAAAAATTATCTAGTTCATTTTAAAGCTCAAGTGGAAATAATAATAATAAAATATGGAAATAAATATGTATAAAACGATTTGAACATCTTAACAATCAATACAAATAAATGGTTGCTATCAGGAACCGTTTGTTTTTATCAAAAATTAGCATGACAACCATGTATACAATGATATGGGAGAATTCTCATATATTATATCACAAGAGCTTTAAATTTAATCGATTAAACTATCCAACATATTTTGAGCATGATTTTGCTTGGAAAATAGTTGAATGCACAATAACTTAATAAAAGCCCGAGACCGCAAAGCAATCGAGGGCTTTTATTTAAAAGTTATTGTGCATGAAACTATTTGCCAAAAAGCAAAATTATGCAAAACATATTTGGATATCCATTTAAATTTATAGGTCGTGTGGTATACGGCTAGATTATTTCCTGAATAATTAGGATTGAATTGTTGGCGTCAATCCTATCCAAAGAGTTCTATTTATTATAAAATGTCAGAATATTTAAACAAAAATTTAATCACTGATAAACAAGGTCTTGTGAAATAATCACTTAAGGTAAATGCACCAGTGATTGACAGTGCTCCAGTAATTGACACTTAAAGGTAAATGTTATCAAAACAAGCTAACTCGATGTCCTAGAGCCATTCTCAATAAAAAAATTTCATTAATATGATATTTGGCGACACTCTACCAGCTATGAAAGAAATTAGCTGATATCTGCCAGTTATTTTAAAATGTGAAAAGGCTGGTTACCTGTCGGATGAGAAAAATTAAGAGATTTGTTAAGGCAAACAAATCGAATATTATTTTTTATTGCTATGTATCTATGTTTAATTCATTCCATATGCTTGGGGCAGAGTTTAGGTATGATTGAAAGGTTTTTTGATGTGTATTTGTTAGTAAAACACATTATATGGGATTGGCGTGGGTGTCAAAGACTGGATCAAGTGATTATGACCATGTACCAATTATTGACTGATGTGTCAATGAATGGATCTCATAACAAATTTAACGCAATCACAGCAAAACAGTGCAATATTTGACAGAACGATCACATCTTATTATGAGCACAACATTTCTGAGAATATCTGAGTTTGAAAAAATCACTGGTTCCATAGTTATTGACATGAGGGTCAATAATTGGTACACCAGGGTGTCAATTATTGGTACACAGGATGTCAATTACTGGAATTTCATTTATTACTGATACAACATCAAAAAAAATTACTTCAAAGAGCAATGAATGAAGTTCTAGCAGCTGTGGCTTATTATTACTCATTTTATATACCAATGTACTGAGAAAAAAAAAATTGTGTCAATAACTGAGGTGTCAATAATTGGATAATAGGTGTCAATTACTGGGTCCCCAAAGATACATTTAAATTCCATAAGAGAGTCTAATTGTGTCAATTACTACTGCATTTACCTTATTTGGGGCCAAATTATGGACCAACTGGTAAGTGTCTGGTTGTTACCTAGCAGGTACTTACTATTCTCTAGTGCATAGAAAGTACCTGCTAGGTAACAACATAATTTGGCCCTTAAACAAAATTCATTCAAAAAATGACGTTGTCTGATGGGTCTATTCTATAATGAATGAAATATTCGGGATTATCCTCGGGATTATCAGAGGCTGGACTTTGAGGTATAAACCTAACAAAGCTAGTATAAATTGAAAAAATAGTCTATTTTTCTCACAGTGGAGCTTCTTAAATATCAAGAAGTAGAACTCGTAGTCTTCTCCACAATAGGGTACTTGCATGGAAAATTAAATTGATTATTGTTTATTGCAAACTGTGGGAAATCGAAAAAAAAATCGTTACTTTTTTTTATTTCGCCCAAATATGATTATTCCGGAAGTTATACAAATATTAGGTTTTGTATATAGTGTCGCGGCTTTGGGTTGCCTGCTGACAAAAATCTCGGGTTCGTTGTTCGTTTCGTTTATTCCAAAAATCAAAGTCCAATTAACACAGCAATAATTTATTCCACTTAACAAAACACTCTGACACTAATTACTTTATTAACAAACTCAACAATCAAACTCTTTACAATCACTATTTAAATCATATCACAGTCGAACTGAAACTTAACTTACAAACCAATGCCGGCCTTCTTATATATCCCTAAATCTATTCCTGTAAAATCTAGAATACACACGATAATCTAATTTTCCAGATTAAAGTAGAATAATTCGCTAAATTCTAGTATTTTCGCCATCGATTCTTGACAGCCTGGCGGACGCCGCGCTACAATAGGTATAGATATACTGAGCATGTGTGACGTCACTAATTTATCTGATAAGTGACGTCATAGGCATATTTCATAGCATTGTATCTCCGTTAATTTTTGACTAAGAAGAAAAAGAAAAAACACGTGTTGACATATTTTTCATGGACTATCGAAATCAGCAATAAAAAAAAATGATGCAAGGAGCCTATTCTTTATATAAAATTCAGTATTGAATTTTTATTATTTTGAGTACCTACATGTTTCGGATATCCATATCCATCTTCACCTCTAAAATTAAATAAACTGATAAGAGTTTGAGAAAAAAATTTTTGGCTAACAGTAATTTCTTAATACAAGATGTGGAATAATTTAATATACCTTAGTATTTCAATAAACCAATGATTTCTTTTGTATGAACCTGTGATCTATGGTAAGCACATCGAGACTTATCAAGGAAATTGTTGCTCACTAAGTGAAAGAAGGGGAGTGTTGATCATGCCAGAGGCAGTTGTTCCTGGCTGGAGAAGCTAGTATATTTGGAATCAGGTTCAAAAGGCTAATCCAATAGGTCAATAATATACTGGGTGTTCGATTTAAAAAAGTATAACTTTGCTGCGCCACACTTTTGTGACACACCATGTATACTTGTAACCTAGCTTGTAACTTACTCCATTGAAAAGTTTCTGATATTACCTACAACTTCCACATTTGACATTTCTGTGTATCTCTTCAAACAGGTGAGATAGGTGTGGGTGCAAAATATGAACAATCACCTGGTACCTACCGACTTGGGAGCTTTGAGTCAGTCTAACAATCAACACTTTTTCCAATTACCCAAGTGATTCAAGGGTCCCTCAAAGGGTAAATTAGTGGTCATAGGTGATAAATAACGAGATAAATGATAATAATAACTCAAATATGTAATAATAATAAAGGAAGAGCATTAATATAAAAAGTAAATATGTACCTACCTAGATAAGAATAATGCATAAACCAGGGGGCGGATTACGAACTCTCGATTCGAACCGAAACCGCCATAGATTTCGAACGCATTCCTATGCAATCACATGGAGTGCGTTCGAAATCCATGGCGGTTTCGGTTCGAATCGAGAGTTCGTAATCCGCCCCCTGATAAAGGGTAACTAAGGCTGACCCTTCACCTTTAACCTGGCCTTTAGCCTTTAAATATCAGCTGTTTCTGACACTTTGGCCTACTATGAGAATATTTCTCACATTTCAATAAATAAATAAAATAATAATATGTTTGTTCTATCAACAAAAAAGAACAGGATCAATGCCCTCATAAAATGATTTAACACATTACTTACGGTTCAGCCTCGATACTTTTCAATTTGGCAACATAATTGGATGGAATGTAGCCCTCTTGTCTCGTTCGTTTGCTTCTGGCCAGCCACCAGTCTCCCTGAGTATCATTTAAAATTTCTAGGTGTTCGCCCTTGCGAAAGCTCAAGTCCTCGTCGGTCCTAGCATCGTAATCGTATAGAGCTACAAATATTCGGGCATTGGTTTGCTCTGGTTCGGGACTGACCACCGGAGGCCTGGTTGTTTCAATGGGTGGAGCTGGTTGAATAGGATTGACTGGTTGGATGTTTTCCTCTATAACCACGGAACGTTCCCTGTTTCTTTCCTGTCTATCCGAACTTGTGGGGTTACTAAAACAATTGCCCATTTTCCTCTTATGGTTTTCGCACACATTCAACTCGCACAACAACAAAAGAACATCACAATGCAGTTTTTAGTTGCAGTTTATTTAAAAGTTTATCAGTTTGACCACAAACGTAAAGCTGGCTAATTTATTTAATATTCATGTCATTGAAAACAGAAATAGGAAAACAACACAAAACACGAAAACAATAAAATCTATATTCAATGGGAGGCAATTTCATTCTCTTTTTTTTCTACAAGTTGCCCCCTGTTCAACTTTCACTTGTGTTTTTCTCTTTTGTGTTGTAGTGCTGTTGCACTTGCACTTGTCAAGAACTTGTCATCTGTCATGACCCATACGATAGTGTGATAGTGAACTCTACTTCATTTTCTTACTCGATCTTTGTTTGGGTTAAGAATAGAATACTTTGGTATTCTAAAATAGAGCACTTTCTGAAGAAAAAAGAGTGTACTAATCTTTTTCCATTAAAATATATCTCAATATATTTTTTCCTGCTTTAACAACGACTAACTGGATACTTGTTTATAAATTCAAAATATTCCTACACTCTCTCTATTTCTCTCAGATTCAGTTACAGATGCAGCCTTGTTTGTCCAATGCTCAATTGTTGACGTTGACATTGACAGATAAGGGTGACAAGAAGCCGTCCTTCAGCTAAATGACTTTTCAGTTTTCCACTTTCAGTTTTTTGATTATTTGAAAAAGTACCACAAAGAAAAAACTTGTAATTTTATACATTTTGTGTTAATTCTAGTTTAATTAGTGTAGTCTTTGATACAACTGTTAATCCGTCGTAATTATATACAAAGGAACCATGCCACATTACAAGGGTAAGCGAAATCGGCATTTTAATTCTATTTCCTAACCTATTTTCTCCCAAAATCCCAATAATTATAATGTTTTTTAAGATTTTGAAACATTTTATGTATTACTTTTAGTTAAAGTTAAATGGGGCAAGGAAGCCTATCAAGTGGACCTCAATACCGATGAAACCCCAGAGGTTTTCAAGCTCCAACTTTTTAGCCTTACAGGAGTACTACCCGAGAGGCAGAAAGTAATGCTCAAAGGGGTTACACTCAAGGATGATGACTGGAGTAATTTTAAACTAAAAGATGTATGTGTGAACAAAGAGTCATTGCTTTGTGCTTTGTCCCAATCTTGGGTGGGGTGTAAAACACTTTGATGCAACCAAAATTAACAAATCTTTAAAAACTAGTTGATATCCTTTAAAAAGATGTTTTCCCCGTACTTACTTAGTAGAGTACTTACTTTACGCACTCTTCGAAAAACGTAAAATTATATTTCACATTCATGCACTAGCACTAGTGTGTAAAAAATCCCTGAGAAAGTTTAGTAAAGGTGGGTTTAGCCAACTCAATGCATAATGGATAATTTATAAAATTTCACATTTAAATACACCCATTTATACCGAGATTTATACAACACATAGTGGATAGTTTAGTTTATAATGCGTAATTCCTAAACTCGTTCCTAAAGTTAGTTTAAATTGTTATTATTTCTTCGCAAAAATGCATAAATAGGTACACCTCAAGTATAAAATGTAATATTTTTAAAGCCTTTGCTGCCCTTTTGCATTAGAACTGCGATATTTACTTACTTTATAGTTAACACCTGAGTTTTACACTCTAGGTTGTGAAATACTTTAGACATTAAGGAGTAAAGTCGTGATATATTTTTTGTCAAATTAATAGCTTGACATTGACAGTGGTAGATGGCAAATGGCAAATGATTAAATATTTTTCTGCAGTGATAAATAAGGGATCAGTTCATCAGTATGCTTGAAGGTATAGGAAGCGGAATATTGTTTTAACCACGGGTCATATAACTACTATTAGTAACTGTGAGTTCATGACGATATTTGTATACTAAAATAAAGGTGTGCAAGGCAAAAAGACTGGTTAACGTGAGTAGGTATACCTTCAGAAATAACCCTTGGTTTTGGGCTCGGTTTTGACCAATGAACTATAGCTAAAAACTGGAATGCGCACACATTGCCATATCTGCCAAAAAAATTTAGCCATGAAAGATAGATGCCACAAAGTGGAATGTTGTTTTGTCATATTTCCCTTCACAGGTTTCATCAATTGGAATACGTGTTGGAAGCAATTTTCGCCATTTAACATAATGAGTGCGACAAAAACAGGTATCCCCTCCGCAGCAGCCGCACTAGGCTTCAAGTTCGTCCTTATGTGTTAGCATTCCAGTTTTTGGTTATAGTTCATTGGTTTTGACTGAGGTATTTTAGCTTAACTGAGCGGGTAGGGATGTAAGCCAATTTTTCTGACTATGTCATGTCACAGTCAAAATGAAAATGACGGTCATGTCATTTATTCTTATGACACTTGTCATTTCTTTTTTTATCGATCAAAGTTTCAGACCAATGACCTATTAGTACGGGATACGAGGCCTATTTCATCAAATCATTTTACACCGTCTTGCATTGTTATCATCAGTTAGATAACATGATGCTGAAACGCACCTGTACGGGGAAATAGATGGGAGTGGGGGATTTCGCTGAAAAAAAATTTCCAGAAAATGTCGTCATAAACAGGGAAAATATATAATTATACACCGTCTTGCATTTATTTATTGACTTAATTTGTACACAAACAAAATTGGATCAACACATGCAAGACGTTTTCATGGAGGTTTTGGGGTTGTTATATTGGATAGAAATTGTCAATTTTTCAGAGGGGTGAAATATCATTTCACACCACTTCATTATTGATTTAGATTAAAGCTTGAATGTAGAATAGCCACTGGATACTGATGCAAGACGTCCTGTGGAGGGATAACGGACTGCAAGACGGAGGTCAATGTGTTGTCTTATGAAGGATGAGAAATCATTTTACACCATCTTGCACTGATACTAATGGGAAAAACAGAACACATTGATAACATTTTAAAAAATACAAGACGTTCTAAATGGAAAGAAAGGACTGCAAGACGGTGATGAAGTTGACTAATTTTGACGGGGGTAAATCCATCAGGTACAAATGTGAATACTACTCCAAATTACAAATTACGCACAATAATTTTAGATATTTATGCTTTTACCACGTAGAATAATTCTATTTTGCAAAATTCTCTTAATATGTATATTTGAATGACTCTACGGACATCAAAAAAAAAAGGTTGAAAATTGTTCTTTTTCTGACAGCTTATAATCATTTTATTTTTTTTTTGAGGTGGATATGTCATAACACCTAACGGATTGTAAGTAGGTATTAGGTAAATTTGAGAAATTTGATTTTAAAGCAGCAAAAAAATGATCTGCCTGGAATTGTAAACAGAAATTATAATTCCTGTATTCAGCAGACTCCCCTGTTGAGCTGCTATGTCAACTGTCCTTTTCCATCTGTATGATTTAGAAAAGAATGAACAGTGAACGGTTCAGTAAATAACTCAAAAGTTCAGTAAAAAAAGAAAACGGATTTATTAACTTTTTTCCCCGAAAAAACGTCTTGGACTGATGTATTACCATTTTTTAACATATATTCTTCCGGCGGACATAAGCATGAAGTGGTGTAAAATAAATTTTCACTCCCTCATGAGACAACGCATTGACATCCGTCTTGCAGCCCGTTATCCCTCCACAGGACTTCTTGTATCAGTATCCAGTAGCTATTCTACATTCAAGCTTTAATCTAAATCAACAATGGAGTGGTGTAAAATGATTTTCCACCCCTCTCACAAATTGACAATTTCCATCTTCTATTGCAACCCTAAAACCCCCATAAAAACGTCTTGCATGTGGTAATTCAATTTTGTTTGTGTACAAACTGACTCAATAAAGAAATGCAAGACGGTGTATAATTATATATTTTCCTAATTTATGACAACATTTTCTGAAACATTTTTTTCAGCGAAATCCCCCACTCCCATCTATTTCCCTGCACAAGTGCGTTTCAGTACCATTTTATCTAACTGATGATAACAATGCAAGACGGTGTAAAATGATTTGATGAAATAGGCCTCGTATCCCGTACTATATTAACACAGATAGACAGAACATCCCATTGATAAAATAGCTTTGTTTTGGTTGACTACATGTTTATGGGCCAGGGGGGGGGGGGGGGGGGGGGGTGAGCTGTGAAAGCGGCTAGGAGTAGGGATTCAAATGATTCCGCTAACTCCGCCCCCATTTTACTATCGCATACTTGGCAACTCTGAAAATGAAACCAGAATTAGTGCTACAAAAGTGTATCTTTATCCTTATATTTCACATAATTTTAGAAAAAGATGCGGATACACTCACTGCGCACTGATTGACAAATGGAAATTGTCATAAAATACCTGCTCGTCGCATTTTGACATGACAATTGAATAGAAGCTGCTGATTGGTGGAAAAGTGGAATTCGAGGTGGGATTTATTTTTTTGCAGCGTTGCTAATTTTCATTGAAAAATAATCGCTTTCCATGTGTTAGAGAAAGATACAAAATAACACAAGGATTAATAAGTAGTGGGGAGAGATGTGGTTCCTGGCATGTAGTCAACCGATATTATTGTTTATTGTTCTGTCTATCTGTGTTAATAGGTCATTGTTTCAGACAGTCAAAATAATAACTGACCGTCATTAAAATATATAACTGTCATTGAAATATATGACAGTGTCACAAAAATATCAGCTGACTTTCGATTTTTACTGTCAAACTTATGAAGGAGATGGAAGCTGTACCACAGTTTATACCGTACCGATACAGTTGTACAACTCTCCATATTTTTTGAGGCCAAATTCTCCAAATAGAAATTCCAGCACTTACGGATTGCTCAAAAAAAGTTCTTAAGATAAAGCCTCGGATAAAGCAAAACTTGAGCAAGCTGGAAGAGGATTTAAATGTGATACAAGAAAAGGTTGTGCATTTCAAGAATTTTGAAAAAAAAAAACGTGTCCAGGAACATAAGGAATTAAAAGAATCACAAAGCGAAATTAAATCGCAATATCAAAGAATATTTACAGATTTTAGGGAACTAGAAAACTTCATAGGAACAGCCACTACAAAACAAATAAATGACCTGAAAGAATTCATCAATGAAAAGTTTGCAGATTCTATACAGCAGCAAACTCACCTAAAAGATGCAAGCATCCCAAACCGAGCTTAAAGACAGAGAAGACAGATCTAAAATCATGCTGATTTTTGGAACCCCAAAGATTAATTCAGAAAACAGATCAAAGGTTGAGTCAGGAAAAGGCTGAAATCTTAGAAGTTCTGAAGAAAATGATACTGAAAATATTAAGTTCACATTCTGCAGATTGGGAAGATATGTACCTGATAGAGTTCAACCAATTAATGTCATATTTACATCAAGAGAAGTAGCTCGCAAATTTCTAAAACAAAAGAGTAAACTCTCAAATGAAAATTACTACATAAAGTTTGACCAAACTGTAGAGCACAAGAAATATCTAAAGGCATACATAACTGGTGCCCTTAACCGAGAAAAACTGATAATGTTGCACTTTAAAAAATTAGAACCTAAATTATTACCAACACACCAACGACTCAAAGTATTCAAATTGTCCTGAAGAAAAACAGTCATCAGTATTGCTTATATCGTGATAAAGCTTCAGGCATGTTCTTTTTGTGTTGTGGATCTCGTTACGGATGGTCTACTATTTATTTTATGACTTTTTTAACTATTTGGGTTGATTTTAAGTACTATACCACTCTTTATATAATTTTAAGTAGCACTGATGATAGCCAAAAGCCCTTTGCTACTCAATTAGAAAATATAGACGTTCAAACAAAGTCACCTACTTTATTCATCTTCAAGCCTCAAGTTCCAGTAGCCGCAAATTTTTGCATTGAAATTTTTCTATTAAGGCTAACTTTCACCTTAGAAATGCAGCTTGCAAGATACTATGTGTTGCACCAAAGTGTTTTACAACCCCAATCTTTTTTTTTTACTCGCCTTAAACTCGTAAACCTTCTTTTATGCAGCTTTTTCATTATTTTAGAATATAACCTTGTTATTAATGGGTAGCAAGGAAGAAGATGTTCCCAAAGAGCCTGTTGAAAAGACTGTTTTTGTAGAAGATATGAACGAAAGCGAATTAGCTACAGCAGTATGTAGCTTTATTGTTTTTTAAACATTTCAATAACTTGTTTCTTGTAGTTGGACCTACCTGCGGGCCTTAATAATTTAGGTAATACATGCTATATGAACGCAACTGTTCAGTGCCTAAAAACTGTTCCCATATTAAGGGATGCTTTACAAAATTTCCAAGAAGGTATAAATAGAATATTTGAATAATCTTTAGAACTTCAAATATGAATCATTTTCAGGTGTTGCTGTTGCTGGTGGAGTGATTCCGGCTCAATCAATAACGGCGGCTTTGAGAGATTTATATGCTACCATGGACAAGGGTCATACAGTTCCTCCTATAGTACTATTACAAGTGCTTCATATGGCATTCCCAAGATTTGCTGAAAAAAATACCAATGGAGGTTTTGCTCAGCAAGTAAATTCCTGGTAATACATGTTTAGGAAAAAAAAAACTTAAAATTCTTTGTAGGACGCTAACGAGTTTTGGACAGAATTGGTGAGAATGCTTCAACAAAAATTAACTGCACAAACTAATCCAAGTTCGTCTAGTCAAGCACAATTTAAGTAATTATTAAAGATTTTTATTTCCTTGAAATAATTTCGATTTATTTTAGATCAATAGTTGATCAGTACTTTGGGGGTACTTTTGATGTAGAAATGAAATGTGTTGAAGCTGAAGACGAGCCAGTGTCAAAGAGTAAAGAGCAATTTTTGCAATTGAGTTGTTTTATGTCCCCCGAGGTCAGATATATGCATTTGGGCTTAAAAAGTGTAAGAAGATTTGTTTTTTCTATGTCAAATTTATAATAATCAACTCCTTTTTTTTTGTTGAATAGAAAATGCAAGAACAGATAACCAAAAAATCTCTTACACTAGATAGGGACGCAACATATACAAAAACGGTAATTAAACTAAAACAAGTAAGTAAATAATACATTAATATGTTGTTTTTTTTTTAGTCAAAGATCAGTAGATTACCGGCATATTTGACTATACAGTTTGTTAGGTTCTTTTATAAAGAAAAGAGTGCGATTAATGCTAAAGTTCTGCGTGACGTCAAGTTTCCCATGGTCTTTGACGCGTACGATTTGTGTACTCCTGAGTTGCAAGAAAAACTGGCACCGGCTAGAAGCAAATTCAAGGAACTGGAAGATGCATTAGTCGAGGCCAGTGCAAAGGATAACATTAAAGGAGACGGCAAACAAAAGGAAGAAAAAGAGAAGAAATATGCTCCTTATTCTTTTGAAGATGGTAAGAGCTGTGAACAAAATTTTTAGTTGATTTGTGTCTTTAAAGATTAAGTTTTTGGTTGAGCAGGTTTCTTTAACTGCAGACTTTTTTGTCATGCAGTAGTTTTTTTTTTGTATGTTAATTGTAATCAAAATATTATTGCTTAAAGAGTCTACTTTAAGTAGCTGTAGCTATCAAGGGGTGAAGCGCTAATCCAGTTTTTGTATGTCACAAGGCCTAATTGGGACATTACTTTGATTTTCCACCTAATTCCCGCAATTCCTCAGCAATGCCTAACAATTCCCTAGCAATACCTAATAATTTCCAGTAATTCTTGACAATTCCCAGAATTTCCTCTCAATTCCTTAGTAATTCCTAGTAATTCCCAGTAATACCAATCAATATTTCCTCAAAAATAGCCAAAGTTATACTCATAAATCATTCGGTTCTGATTGATCATTCAAAAAAGTCGTCATAAAGAGGTATGTATTGGAAACATAGAGCTTAGCTAAACAATATTACATGTTATAAAATTTGTGTTAGGCTAAAACACAATTGAAAGTACAAAATATAAAAGACAAGCAGAGATCTGGCTATCCTGTATTCTTATTAATCTGGTTTTCTGCCTTAGTTTAATTCCATATTGAAATTAAATTTTATCAAAATTCATTTAGAACTGTAGCAGGTTCATTTTTAATGAGAAACTAGTGCTTTTTGAAGCTGATGCTCTAAACATTGGCTTGTAACTTATTTGGTTTTCCGGACGGTTTCAGTTATAGTGGTTAAGGGCCCACGTGCTACAGGTAGCATGTTACAGTGGAGATGGAAAACCAGAGGTCAAAATGCGCATCTCCATAATAAAACACATGATCCAACCACGGTGCATTAAAACTTGCACGCTATTGGTCCGACATAACCCAGCCCCCTCGTAACCTATGTTAATTCCCACAATTCCCAAGTAATTTCAACAAATTCTTGGCAATTCCCACAATTCCTCAATAATTCAAACAATTCCTACATATTTCCTAATGATTTCTAGTAACTCCCTGTTTTTGTACACCATAATTCCCAGCAGTTTACCCCTTGGTAGCTATTTTTGTTAGTGCGAGAGTCTTTAAAGGAACAATCAGGGATAAGTTAAATTCTCAGTTATTTCAATTTGCGAAAAATTCCAGCTATGCGTAATTTGCCAAATCATTCTTTTTTCCAGATCTGGGCAGCAATAACAGTGGTTATTACACACTCCAAGCAGTTTTAACCCATAAAGGTAGATCTTCTTCAAGTGGCCATTATGTCGGATGGGTAAGAATTTCTGGGGAAAAATGGGTAAAATGTGATGATGACACAGTCACTCCTGTTACTGAAGAGGAAATTTTGAAATTGTCAGGAGGAGGTGAGTCTCTGTTTGATTTGTTTTTAATCGATTGTAAACCAATTATTTTCTATAGGTGATTGGCATTGTGCCTATGTTCTTCTTTACGGACCACGCCTTCTAGAATTATCAGAATTAACCGAAAAAATGATAACTGAATAATTTATACCTTTTTACTTCAACAATTAAAGAAAAAATTGTCAAGATTAACTTTAATATATGTGTATAAAAAAAAATACTAGTGAATTATTATGTTTTATTACAAAAATCACACTATATAATACAAATATTACTACAAATAAGTCAAGAAATTCTGGCAGAGTAAGAAAAAAACACACACGAAAGATATATTTATTGTTTGAATGTGCCAAATTGAGCAAGTACATTTTTTGCTTACCCTGTTTTATATACATACACTACAAAAAGTAAAAGTTGACTAGAACGGAAATCCCCGATTGTCAGGTTTAAAATAAATTGTACTTACTGAACATGAAAAAGTTAACCAATCACTTAAATAAGTGATCGATAAGCTTTTAATATATTTTTGGCTACCTTAAATTTTATTTTTGGCAGTTATTGTAAAACACCGCAGAAATACTCACTATTTTGTTGTAGAAAATTTTATATTAAACTAAGACCTATTTAGTTTAATATAAAATTGATGTCTGGCTGTTCAGTTGACTAAAATAGAAAAACTACGTTTGAATTTGAAAAATCTAAAGCACATTCAAGATACTCAAAGGTCAATTTCAACTTTTGAGTCACACAAATAGAAGAACAAAATGCAATATGCCATTTTTTATATATATATATTTTTTTGGGAGGGATGGTTAATGGTTCAAATTTGAAAAAAAAGTAAATACGGCTGTCAAAAAACTAAATCTAAGATCACAGTACAAAGTTCTATTATAATAATACATACATAAACTTATTATAAAAAAAATGGCATTTTACTTATAGGCGATTATTTAAAATATTTAAATATACTGAACACTTTTTATTGAATTTTTTTTCTATAATCTAAAATCGATATGATCTGGAAAGTATTAAAATTTGCAGGATTGTTCCAATTTTGTCAAAAACTCTGTTGTTCAAGTTATTGGTAAAGTCGAAACAAACCTATTATTAGGTAACAGTTGCCAAAAATACTAACAACAACGTTTCATCTAAACCTTATTTTTTGCTCGTATAGGAATTAAATTACCAACTTAATGTGAATTTAACTAATCAAACAATTTACAACTATATACAGGAATTGTTGCTTAATTGAACGAGTGAAGGAAAATATGCATTCTTAAGATTTTAATAGGATCGAACAATTAAAATAATTGCAGCTTTTTTGTGCGTCAGTTACAAATAAAAGTACACGTTGTTGTCAAATTGCTCATCCAAAATCCTACCATCAATCTATACAAAAACAACTACCACAACTGATGTGATTGGGGAGAAAATGTTTGTTTTCTTATCAAACGCTAAGTAACAATTTTTGCAAAAACTAGCGCTACCGATTCCTAAAAATTTTAAAAAATATTGTACTATGTCCATGTTTCACGCCTAACTAAACCGTAATAATTTTGTTTATACTTTTATAGTATTGGAGGCAAATACTGTAAGTCAGAAATATCAATTTAAGTTCAGGAGGCAAAATAAAGGTGTCCTATTCATTAGCGATTCATCAACTAGTGCATCTCTTCAATAAGCAGTTCGATTGTAACGGGTGAAGAATTGAAGACAAGGGTTATTCAATTGGAAGCCTTAGTGACAGTTAACTTTTTGAAATCCATGTAATTCCAGAAGTTAACTTCAAGTTAACTCTCAAAGTAGTTTTATAATACCCGACCTTAAAATGCTTATTTTCCATCAGTTTTGTAATTCTAGTCTGACCCTTGAAAAGTTGTGATTCTTAAGGCATAAGAGGAGACTTGCTACTCCTCTAAACCTAAATTGATATTCCTACTGGCTTGGTGGTTTATTTTAAATGTCTCACCTGATACAGTAAAACATCAACCACAATGAAACATTTGCCTTCCAAAACCCAACAAATACCTCTCACTAAAAAAATTATTGTATTTGAAACTACAGTCATTATGTTATCATGCCCTATAAGGTTCCGAATTTTTCGAAGAACATGGTTGCACATCGTCAATAAGGGTAGGTCTTTTAACCACGCCTGACGACGACGCCGAAATCATTTGGGGGTTTACGATAGGCTTGTAATTGTGCGTAGTTTGATTTGATACTTTGTGCTGCGGCGTGCCATCCGGCGACGGATGACGCTCCTGCAAATTTAGGCTCGGATCTTCACCAACTGGCTGGTAAATTCGCGTTTTGCATTGTTGTATTAGACAAATTATAACTGATTCTATACAACATACATATCCTAAGCTCTAGAAAACTTGTGTCAGTATGGTGATTGTTTTTTGGGAATCACTTTATTACTTACCCCAGTAACTATTAATTGGTGATGTGTCCATTTTGGGACCCACATAAAGGCCTCTGATAAAAATACCATGTGAAATAATAGTGACGACGCTACCAGGAACAGTACACTAAGGCTTACATAGAAATATGCATTCTAAAAATAAATATTTTATGAGTTTAAAAGCTCATTTTAACTCTAAAAATATCAGGATTACTTACCAGTTTGCCCCAATTAAAGGGAAACAGATACACTGTGTGAGAAATATCAAGAAACAGCAAGAGACATGTGATGAAAATGCTTAATAGAGTTATAAACATCATGAGTCGAATTCGACCGACCAGTGGCAGCATAAATAGTCCAACTTTGACTGTCCCTGATGTGCACAGGCAGGCTAGACATGCTATAGTTGTGGCCTAGAATTAATTCAATATTTGTTAGCAATAATAAAAGTTGAGTCAATTTTTAAAAATAACAACGATGATTGCTGTATTGTATAATTTACAGTAGATATTACTTATTCATTTATCAACGGACGTAGCCCAATTTACAAAACTTAGTGTTAACATTTCAAAAATTATTAACTAACTTTATGAGAAAATTAGCAAAATACCTTACAACTAAATTTAGGCGAATATTGATTCTTCCAATTTGGGATACTGCTATATGAATAACAGATTAGTAGATAAGAATAGGGTATCAACTGGTCACTTGCTTACATCATAGTCTAACACAGTCATGGACCTCGTGCAAAAATATTTTGATAGATGCAAAGAAATCTATCTCATTGAGAAGTGGAAGCTATCTGTAGATCTGTTGGCTCTAGAAGGGACACGTATATCAACTTTGTGCAACTCCGGAGACGCAGCTGTACCATATAACATATAAAATATTTGGAGATCACTTTTTTTTGTGACGCGATACAATTGGTGACATATTGAGCAAAGTTAGAGCACAATAAAGTGTTTTCAAAGTCTTTAGATTAGAGAAGTCTGACTGGTCCTTCTGATAAAACCCAACATTTGAAAAGCCCTACTGACAATATTATCAAGGTGTCAAGAGAACTGGAGAGTTGGATCCAAAAGGATACCCAAGTCCATATTTACTGCTGGCTACACCTAATTACATGGAAATCTTATTGGTCGAAAGAATTTACTTTAATTATGAACAATTAATAAAAAAAACTCGAATATTTTCGCGCTGTTAGTTCACGTCGTTCTTCTCTTGGTTAATTTGATAACTTTTTCACGCCGTAGTTCTGACTAGCTGGCCACAGGTCTCTCGATTCTCGATTACTACTTGTTTCTTGATTACTCAACCGACACTGGTCTTTTACGTCGTAGTTCTGACGGTTTACTCGTTCTTTCTCGAACACTGATTTTCCCCTGCCAAAGTTGCCTTTTTATATCATTGTCCGAGTCATTGTCCCTTCATTGTCTTGAATCTCTTTATTCTTTCTGACCTCGATTTTTCGTGAAAAATCATCCGATCAATTAGTGTCCCCTTTTAATTAATTATCAAGGGCGTCGCTAAGTGGTTTGTTAAGTGGGTATCATCATATAGGCTCGTGCATGATTTATTGAGCCTTTTCGAAATTTTTCGGCTCCTTTGGAATGTTAATTGTTGAAAGCACTTAAAAAAAAGGTTCATGAACTTTTGCTTTAGTCACTTTCCAATGTATTAGACAATATAGAGTACCGGCTTCCAATAATTTCTGGATATCGATGTTCAGATAATTTTTAATTGAAGTTTCTGGTAGTGCTATCTAAGTGATGATCTCTCCTGGTATGGTTGTTTGATAAGTCTTTGTTATTCTTGATTAATTTTCGTTAGTTGGATCCTAGGTCTTTAGTTGTTTAGAATAATCAGAACCTTTAATTGTTTTCTTGGTGGTTTATTTCCGCGTCACAACACATAATAGCTATTTATGTACCAAGGGGATAATGTAGATTAATTTTTCAATTTTTCAATTTCAAGCAAGCTTTATTGTCTAAAAATGTAGATTTTCATTGACAAAGCAAGAGTAATAATAAAATAAACAAAACAATAATAAAACAAGTAACATCTCAAAGGGGTAATTTTCCTTAGACTAAAGAATATACTTAATATTAAAATTACAGGACAGTAAACTTATGGTGCATGATCAAAATTGTACAAACTCACGCTTAAATACATACATAACAAAACAACCAGTCAAAGTCAAGTCACAACACAATTTCAAAATGAATAGGTCTAGACTTATAAAATAGATAAAATACAATAACTGTAACACAAAGCTCATTTAGTCGTCATAATACTCTTTTAAACTGTAGAAAGCCTTGGTGGCTAGATATTTTTTAACATTTGACCGAAATGCTTTATAACAGGAAACGTTTTTTATATCCTGTGGTAGTTTATTAAACATTTTTTTACTCTCATAAATTATCGATTGCTTTGTTAAGGCAAATTTTGGTATTGGGAGTGGTAACGTATTATTATTACGAAGATAATAATTATTTTCCTGAACAAGACTTGCAGACTTTTTATATATAAGAGATACCGACTCAAGAATAAAAATACAGGGCACAGTCAGAATAGCCTCCTCCTTAAACAAGCCCCGACAGGTTTCCCTACAACCTACCCTGCATAAATATCGAACCGCCCTCTTTTGCAAAATAAATAAAGTGCGAATTGAAGATTGTGGCGAAAAACCCCAGAAAGCGATCCCATATCGAATATGGGACTCTATTAAAGAGTAGTAAGCATTTTTTCCTATTTTTTTGCCGAGTTCTTGAGTAACTGCTCTAATGACGTAACAGGCACAAGATATTTTTTTTGCTAGGTTGTCTATATGAGAATCAAATTTAAGTTGCTTATCAATGTAAATGCCAAGATATTTTACAGTTATTTTGTTTTTGAGGATTTGATCTTCAATTTTTATATCAGACAAGGCACATTTAAAAGTTAAAATATTGGTTTTTTGAATGTTAAAGCAAAGCTTGTTCGAGTCGCACCACTGTTTAATACTTAATAGATCTGATTCGATGGTTAGGTTTAAATTTTCAAGAGTTTTTGAGGTCCATAGTGCGTTGGCATCATCAACAAATGCTGTTAGTTTTGCAGTTACTGGAAGTTTTAGTAAATCATTTACATATATAAGAAACAGTATGGGGCCCAAGACAGAGCCCTGTGGCACGCCACAAGAAACTCTTGCCTTTTGGGATGTGTCCCCCTTCACGCTCACAGATTGGTATCTTTCGGAGAGCATCGATCCAAACCAGTTCAAAGGGATTCCCTGAATACCATAATGAGCCAGCTTACGCAACAGTATCCCGTGATCTACACAGTCGAATGCTTTCGAAAAATCACAGAACACTGCCGCGGCAACCTCCCGATCATTAAGTCCCAGATATAAGGTTTCCAAAAATGAGAAAATAGCATCATCTGTGCTTTTACCGTTCTGAAAGCCAAATTGATTTTTGTTTATAATGCCATATGTATTTAAATAGGAGAGAAGCTGTTCTTTTACTAATTTCTCAATAACCTTAGATAATATGCTCAATAGCGAGATTGGTCTATAATTAGAAGGATCAGTGCTGTCGCCCCCTTTAAAAATGGGAATGACAATCGCTGACTTAAGACAAGAAGGGAACACACCAGTTTCAAAAGACTTGTTGATGCTTGATGCCAACACATCTATAGCATTGCCAGGTAATTTTTTTAGGATTCTCAATGAAATGTTGTCTTCTCCTGTTGTATTTTGTTTTTTTATTGACCCAAATATTTTTTGGACTTGGTCCCTGTTAGTACAAATCAGGTTAAATTTTTCTGTATGCAAGATTGGTTTCAAGTATGTAAGCGGGTCAGTATTAGACATTAAATTTTCAGATAATTTTTGTGCAATAGTAGTATAGAATGTGTTCAGTTCGTGAGGATGAATATCTACTGGATTTTGAGATTTAGTTTTTTTACCTCTTAATTCATTAATGATATTCCAATATTCCCTGCTTTTATTTTCAGATCTATGAATTCTATTTTCATAATAGAGCTTTTTTGCTTCTTTTATGACCTTTCTATAAATAGTTCGGTATCTATTAAAGTATCCTATAAAAATTTGATTTGTTGTAAATTTTCGTATAGTGTGGAGTGATTTTAGATTTTTGCCAGAGATTTTAATTCCTTTAGTTATCCATAGTTTTTTGTTATTGGTTTTTATATTTCGGAGTGGAAAGCTTTTATTAAATATGTCGAATACCTTAGATTGAAATGACTTTATACAATCTACTGAAGTTAGACACTGGCTCCAGTCAATTTGGTTAGCTAAATTTTTAAATTTACTAAAGTTTTGCCGACTATATATTCTGCGTTTCACCAAAATTTTTTTTTGTTTTTCTTTAGAAGTTCGTAACTCTGCCACCAAGGCTTCATGGTCTGATAGACCAGAGGGTATTACCTGACAACTAAACTCTCCACATTCGAAGTTGCTACAAAAGTAATCTATTATTTTTGCGGAATGATTTGTAATTCTCGTCGGTTCATTTACAAATACCTTTAAATTTAATGAGTTCAATAAGTTAATCAACAATTTTGTATCACTAGAGTGCAAGTCACCATTGTCAATATTTAAATCCCCTGCGAGTACAATTTTTGACTTAATTGGGAATTTATGCAGCAAAACTTCCAGATTTTGAAGAAATACTGCTGGTTTTCCAGATGGTGGCCTGTATACACATATAATATAAATATTTAGACTTTTTACGTAAGCTATAGAAAATTCAAATTGATTTTTAATAATAAGATTATTGTGAGTGTCAATACTGATTACGCCATAATGACACAATACATTTTCATGGACAAGAATAATTGTTCCCCCATACCCTTCTTCCCTGCAATATTTCGACAAAATCCCGTAATTTGGAATGTAACTCAATTCGTCCTCCGCGAGCCAATGCTCTGTCAAGAGTACAAAGGCAGGCATATTAAGATCAGCAATTAAAACCTGTAGCTCGTCAGATTTGTTACGCAATGACTGAACATTGAGCAAAAGAAATTTTATTGTAAGTATGTTTAAATCTGTTTGATTTATATTCATTTCGCTGTAATTTAAACTAAAAAAGAAGAAGAGGACGATCTGTTGCTACAACCTACCCCTAGAATAAAGTTATCAAGACGTTCCGCAATTTTCTGCTTGCCAATATTTCTTATAGCAAGTGCGTTATTAAAAATAAAATTTGATGCGCTAAGAAAAGAGTTTAAGTTAATGTATTTCTTCAAAATATCTTTTAATCCTTCGTAGATCCCGATATTCACCCTATCAATGAAGCCATTAAGTACTCTTCTATTACCCCACAGAGGTACAGACAGTACAATTAGGTTTGTGCGCAATCCAATTGTAGAAAGTAATTCGAGAGTCTGTGTCCTTATTTGATTTCCGCAT